TGATGTAGTATCATTGGTACAATTACAATACGAGTACACTCGATATTATTGGATCATTTGAAGGAAACTAATATGGCTTGCCCTAATTACAATTTTTTTAATATTTTATTTTGTTACCACTATTACATCACTTATAGTATGATATTAAATCACTGATATGTATAAGCCAATAGAAACACATACTTCATACTTTTGAACAGACAGATATTTCTTCCAATAGTATAAGTAGTAAGTTTAATTTACATTACATAATTATATGTATATAAATGTGTTGTGTTATTTACATTTCTATGTCATTCTAGCCAGACCACATATTTTCATTATTGTTTATTTCTACTTCAAACTATAAAATACATTTTAAGGTTCCCCATAATTTATACTGCCAGACTAGAAAAATTTAAAAACACGAAAGGTAAGGAGCATCAAATAACTAGAAACATAACGGTAAGTATTTGAACATCATTTAAAATTAGATGTTCTTGTTAACACATTTAGAATTTATTTAATTCAAGTTGTTAATTAAATTAAGCTTAGTATTGTAAAGAATGAATGAAAAAAACAAACTAAAACTCATATATTAGAACAAGGAACAACCTGATGTGGATTTAGTTTCGAGTCAATAGTAAGATATTACACACACTGCACTTCACAAAAGTTTCGAATCAACACTGTTTCATTACATATACTACACTTCACGAACTGGTTCGAGTCGAAAGTAAGTTATTAGTATATTACAATTAACGACAGTTTAGAGTCAACACTGATTCATAACATATACTACATTTCACGAACTGGTTCGAGTCGAAAGTAAGTTATTACGTATATGACAATTAACGACAGTTTAGAGTCAACACTGATTCATTACATATACTACATTTTACGAACTGGTTCGAGTTGAAAGTAAGTTATTACGTATATGACAATTAAGGACAGTTTAGAATCAACACTGATTCATTACATGTACTACACTTCACGAACTGGTTCGAGTCGAAAGTAAGTTATTACGTATATGACAATTAATGACAGTTTAGAGTCAACACTGATTCATTACATATACTACACTTCACGAACTGGTTCGAGTCGAAAGTAAGTTATTACGTATATGACAATTAATGACAGTTTAGAGTCAACACTGATTCATTACATATACTACACTTCACGAGCTGGTTCGAGTCGAAAGTAAGTTATTACGTATATGACAATTAATGACAGTTTAGAGTCAACACTGATTCATTACATATACTACACTTCGACAGCTTCGATCAACAGTTAGTCATTACGTAATTCACGAACTGGTTCAAGTCAGCAGTGGGTCATTACATATATTGCACTTCAGGTAACTTTGAGTCAACTGTGAATAATTATCAAGTGTACATTACATAAGTTCTAAACCCCCAGTTACAGATAAATATTAGATATTTCGTGAATGAACGAAAAGGGATATTTTCCTTATTACAGATTTTTTTTTCGTTTGCTTTTTAGAATTAAAACAAAATTACTGAAGAATTTCATGAGTTCCTTAAATGTAATAATTGTCGTATACCTCAACTTTCTTGGAATCCAAAAATCTATCTTGAAATAAGATCAATCGTGTCTAGTTATTAATCTTTTAATTATGACTTTCTACAATATTGTTTTTGGTTATTATGATCATATTCTAAGATATATGCGTAACATCCTTTAACAAGTAAAGGAATTTAGTTTTATTATGTGTATTTTAGATGTAAGGTTTATGTTGACACTATTGAAGCCTAATGTAATTTTAGAACATGTTAGACAAGATCCTTACAGAAGAACTTCTAGCCCTAGTATAGGCTTAAAGAATCTGTTAAAACTGGCATTCATTATGGATAGTCCCATTTCATCAGCTCTTTCTAATGTGTTTTAATGTGTAAGGCATTACAACCTCCACCATTTTCACTTAGGTATGTCAACGATGCCTTTACAGGTTTCCAGGTTAGTTAAATCAGGATTTCCTGTTAGCCATTGAATCTGAAATTACTTCTAGCCTGAATTTCTTAAATGGTCACATTAATAGGTCAAAAGATGGATTTTCACGAATGTCCTTAGAAATTAACAACCTAACAACTACGATAGATGTGATTGGGCCACCTCCTTCCCAAAAAATCTCTTTCTTAAAATGTATTCTTAATTTAGCCTCCAACATTTGTACTAAAAAGCAAGCTATTAAAGAAAAAAATTAGTTGCGTAACTAATTGGTTGCAAAAGTCAAACTACCCTTTTGAAAACATGCACAAAACACTAGTTAAAGTCCAGAACAAGGCTACTAGTAACAATTCAGTACTTTCTAATATCAGCAGGACTTCAATAAATTATTTCTCCTGTTTTTATTACCTTAGATCATAAACTTACATGTACTCTTCCAGTTACTGACATCTTAACGTCTTCAGCTGTTAACAATGTTAAGTGAAAAAACATAGCATGAATTTAAACTTATAAAACCGGATTGTGAGCTAAACAAATTTCTTGAGAGAGATAACTTTATACTGATGGGAAAGTCTATTAAATCAAATGTACTGAGTGTCCAATATAAAGATATGTGAACAAAGGTAACTAATGTACACACCTTTCACAAAGAATGTAAAATATGTTTTATTTTCCTCCATTGGTATTTTTGTTTCTCACGACGTTTTAATTAACAGAAATAAATAAGGAAACTTTGAAAACAAGCTCAAAGAAGGAATTATCTATTACAATGCTGAACTTATTTCTTAGTTCTCAGGGATTTATATATAGGAAACACAAGCAGAACCTTCCAGAAAAACTTCATGAAGTCGGTCATTCAGAATAAAATATTATTGTATTATTAAAATTATTTGATAATTAAAAACAATTCTTTAAGTGATCCGCATATTTCCAAACAAACACAGTTCCTGTAATGAGTAAATATAGAATCTTAATGAAAAAAAAGTGTAATTTATTATAGAATGTATACATTTTCTTAAATATTACGTTGCATCTCCAATACAGTGTAAGAAAAAAATAAATCAGTTTTATTATTATTTACATCGACTTAATTCACATAAAAAACGCAAGGCCACATTTTCATTTACAGTTTTGTTCGACATTAATTCAGAGTTTGTAACCGATAACCTAAAAAAACACATATGCATTTGTTATATAAAAGGTTGAATTGTTTTCAACAAAACAGCACACAAGGATGGTACACATTTCCAAGGCTGAATTGTTTTCAACAAAACAGCACACAAGGATGGTACACATTTCCAAGGTTGAATTGTTTTCAACAAAACAGCACATAAGGATGGTACACATTTCCAAGGTTAAATTGTTTTCAACAAAACAGCACACAAGGATGGTACACATTTCCAAGGTTGAATTGTTTTCAACAAAACAGTACACAAGGATGGTACACACTTCTTTATTATACGATTCAAATGAAAAATATTACGTTTTCAAGTTAACGATTTGTTTGTTGTTTAATCCAATGCTAATTTTGGATGTGAATATATAATTATTTTCCTATATCACTAGTTAAAATCCCAACAGAGAAAATGTTACGTATTTAATAGTTCTTATATAAATTTGAAATAAGCGTGAATACTTCAATGTAAACAAGAATAGTATTTTCGTTAGATCCTGCTATACTTTCAGGTTATGTACCTAAAGCAAAAACTACAATATTCACAATAAGCATTGTACCATAATGTTTCTTTATTGAATTGCTTGTAACAACTTTTTAATAAAAATAATTCATAAGAGGCTGTTTTGGAACAGCAATAACTTCCTTCCAAAGTTGAAAGCACGGATTCACAAGTATGAAGTTGGAAAACAGCAAAATATGATTTTAAAGAAATCATATGATTTGTGTTAAAAAAAAAAGAAAACTGTGTGTATCAATCTTGTTGGCAAATATCATAAACTGACTATATATCGGCATATATTTAAATACTAAATCCAAAGTACAATTTAACTACTAAATTTGAAGTACCAGTTAACTCGGTTTCAGACTATTTTAAAATCTAATACGTAACATACTATATATTCCAGTTAAGTATTTCTCATTTCTTGTACGGCATGATTTTCTGCTCTATCTACACTACACACCCACATCAGCTGACTCAGTGAGTGACAGGCTTCATGGAATTTTTCTTTTTGATGCTAGTAATTTCATAAAAAGTTCATCTTCTTAACTTTCTTTATCTAGCTCTCAGTTCTGTGGAGAGGTGAGTAGCATTTCTGAAGTTAATATTTTCCCTACCTGGAAATGTATTTCAGATAGATACTTACCTCTCCTTAGAACCACTCATTCTTCTTTTCTACTTCCAGTGTTTTTTGCCTCATCAAGAATGAGCTTGTGATAATACACAATGTGCTTGCTGGAACTATTTTGCACGAAGGATGAGTTATTTTCTTATTGGTGGAAGATTATAATATGATGCTGATTGCATCATACACTGGTTTAGTACATATTAATATATATAGGAGTGGGAGTTTTTTCAAGACTTGGAGCTTGTTCAAGCAAAATTCTTTTTGGCAGTTGCACAAGGTAGTAGTTCTCAATTCTGTGGAGAGGTGAAAATCTCAGAAATACATATTCAGACAAGGAAAATGTAAAATTTCATTTAAAAAATTACATTTTTGTTTTTTTTGGTACATGAACCTCTAGTGAGGAACAAATTAATTGATATATAAAATAATTTATCAAAAAATTAAATTTCAGAAAGTTTCAAAAACAACTTTTTTTGAAAAGTATTGAGATAAAATACATTTATACAATACAATTTTAAAATACATCTGTAGTTTCACTTAAGTTTTATGTTTAATGTGGTAGCATGTAATATTTCTACAATAATTGCTAGTTTGTTTTTTCCAATTTCTTGTGTTAAAGGAAGTATTTACATTTTAAGGTTAAAAAATACATTACAGAAATTTTTGTAGACTAAAATTTTATGGGAAAAGTAAAATAGGTTTACTAAATATATTTTTTTCAGTAAAGTAGAATTTTCCAATTTCTGTAGATCACAAAGATTAGGAAGAAATGGTATTGATGAAATTAAAAGACGACGTTTTTTTCACAATGACCAGTGGACATTTGAAAACATCAGAGAATGTAATGCTTTTTGTTTTTTTTATCCAAATAGCTACAAGATAAATATATGCAATTTTTGCAAGAAAGATGTTTAGCTTGCAAAATGTTGTTTTTGTTTCAATGATGATAATTTGACTGTCAGATGACATTAACTATAAAGTTTATCAACATATGATTTTTGTCTTCACGTATTAATATAATATTATAAACATTAAAAATTTTGTTGAATCACCAGAGCCATAGGGAAAGATGCTACCTAGATGGCATGTTTTGGTTATTGGTTTTAACTTGACCAATTTTGTATGGTGTTTCAACAAAATGTTTAAGTTATTTAGCCATACTTTTAACTATTTGATATAATACAGTATCTTAACTATTGAATAACTAAAGGCACTGTTAAAATATAAAACATATCTTTCATAGTCTGTATTAATAGAGTATCAGGTGCTTGAAATTTGTACATTTTTACATAATGAAACAAAAGTTAGTACTTTGGGATTTTTTTAGAAATTTTCTTGAACTTCAGGTGTACCACCAGTTGTACCTGAACTGGCAAGTGATGATGACACCAGTAACTTTGATGAAATAGAAAAAGATGATAGTTCAGAAGAAAGTTTTCCACCACCAAAAACTTTTGCAGGCAACAATCTCCCATTTATAGGTTTTACATACTCAGGGGATTACCAGTAAGTTATAGTACCTAAATAATTCCTGCCGTTGTTTTGTTGTATATAATATTGTATTTGTGAAGTTCTCATAATTTTAAACCTGATATTAGTAATTGTAAAGGTGTTTTGTTCGTTATTAGTTATAATGGTCTAAAAAGTATGAAGTTCCTTTTTATGTCTTGTTTGGACCAATTTTAAGTATATTGTTATTAGTAATTATAGTAGTCCTGATAAGTGTGAAGTCCTTGTTTCTGGTTAGAACCAATTGCATATATATATATAATGATACTGGTAATTTATATTTGTTGTTTGTTTGTCAATATTAGTTATAATAGTTTTAGTAAGTATGAAGCTCTTGTTTCTGGTTAGTTTTTATTTTATTCATGAAGATATTCATTATAAACATATTCACTTTCGAGGAGTATTTTTTTGTTTAAGTTATAACCAGATTACTAATTATAAAATTTTGTTTTTTGGTATTTTTGTTGACTAGTTTTGGTAATTATGGAGTATTTTATCATTTTCCTTGTTTGGGAGAAAGCTAGCTATGATAATAAAATCTGTTCCTATAGGAATATTTGTTTCTGTTTTGTGTATTTTGTTCTATATCTATAGAACAAAATCATATGTTTTTTTGTTTTCTACATTAGGTTTAGTAATACTAGTAGCCATAAAATAGTTTTTCTGCTGTGGTAGTTCCTATTGTGTTTCAATTATTATGTGTCGAAATTATAACATTTCTGTTCTTCTTTAATTTTTAATCATGCTTGGAAAGTTCTTTCAATACATCAAAGAGATATAATAAGGCTTTACAGTGATAACTTTTCTTGTGAAATTTTAGGGATGGTATAATTATTTATATTTGATACTTTTTTCATTGAAGTTTTTAACAACAAATCAAAAGAATGTAAAAGTCTTATTTCATTGAGTATAATTATGTGTAATAACTTATTGATATGAACTGTAGATAGGAGAATTTTGTATTTGGAGAGGATATTATGAATTTGAAGAAAATAGTTTCTGCAATTTGCACCTAAGTTCTGAGAGCAGTCAAATCATGATCATATGTCAAGATATTTCTATCAAGTGAATGCTGTCCCCCACCAAATGTGAAAGAACAGTTGTATGTTTTATATAGTGGATAATTTTCTCTTTCTATTGGGTCTTACAAATTTGGGTGTCAAAAAAATTCATGTGCTTATCAAGTATGCCTTTTAGATATAAGAAGACAAAAAATAGACTGAAATAGATTGTCTCAAAATTTCTATAATCTATTTTTTTTTTTTTGAGTAAACTATAAATAGGTTTATAGAATTCTGTTAGTTGTTCAGAGCAGTCAAATCATGATCACATGTCAAGATATTTATATCAAGTAAATGCTCTCCTCCACCAAATGTGAAAGGACAATTGTATGTTTTATATAGAGGAGAATCTGATCTTTCTATTGGTTGTAAGCATGTCCATCAGCCAGGTAGGGTTTGTTAGCAAACAATGTCAAAAGATAGAGAGAAAGAGGTGATTCTATGATGGGTTTGACAAATTTATTGATATATCGGCAAATAAAGAAGGTAAGAGGTTTTAAATTCTTACATGTAATTATATATAATTTGTATTTGTAATTGTTTGGAAACTGTACAAACCTATTTTACTAGTTATAAAATTTTGGAGCTCAGATGTAGAAATATGACGTTTCATATTTTCTGAATATTTCTTTTTGAAATCAAATTAGATAGTATCAAATTTTAATTATAACTATAGTTTCATGCCATACTTATTAATATACATTAATAATAATGTTATTTAATTTTGAATGTAACACTGTAAAAGTCATGATATGCACTTTAACACAGTTGTACAGATAGATTTAAGACATTGAAAATTTTAAACTCAATATGGGTAATGGATGTGAAAATATTTTGGTTGTGTAATATAATTTGTTCCATATTTGGTTATTCACTTGCCTGAACTGTAAATTGTATTAAAATGTCAGATGCTATGGTTATTAAAAACTGTTAGTTAACTAGAGATTTAAGATTTATGTGATGTTTTGAAAAAAATACACTGGCTATGGAATAACTTTAATATTTATCATAGAGGTATTTATAATGATGATAGTTGTGAATTGTTCAAGTGAATAGTCCAGGAAATAAACCTTTTGATGAAAAATTAGGAAAAATATTAGTATGAAACATACTCTGTAACAAATCAGAAGTCTCTAAGAATTGTGACTCTTGGTTCCCCCCCACTGGTACCTTGTAATTGAGGAATTCTGACCTTTTTGCAAATAAAATTGGGTCTCTCAGCAATGTATATACATTAGGACATTAGAATATATTTATTATATTGTTATCATGCTTACAGGGAGCTTAAGAATTTTCAAAGTTCTATTATTCAGGGTGTACACAGTCAGGGAAAATGTGGAAAAGTCAGGGACAAAATGCCCAAGGTTGGGGAATTCTCTTTTGTAAATCTTTTTTTTTTTTTCAGACAATAATCACTAACAGAGTGTATTGGGCATACCCTGAAAAATACAAAATTCCACCAAACTACTCACTCTTTTAAGTTTATGCAAATGTAATTGCATGCCAACTTACCTGTGTTATATGGAATTGCCCATTTTCAATTACTTTTCTGTGGTGATACATGGCTAGAGCTTCAAAATGGGATTACCTAGTGACCTTTTGTGAAATTTGGGTGTATTGCAGTTATCAGAACTTCTAATACTCTTTTTGTGTGCAGGTTCTATAAGGAATCTTGAGAAACATTTGTAAACTCTGTTTTACATTTTGAGTGACACACCTGCTAGATTAGATTATAAAGAGATAAGAAAATGAAATCTGTTTGACCCAAAGAGGATACATAAATTGTTTCAAATTGTTTTTATAGTGAAATGTTTATCCCAGTTACTATTTTTGCACCAAGTATAACAATTTGAAACTAAAAGGCATGAATCTAAAATTTTATTATACTTTACTGACACTGTGGCATGACAATAAAAAAGTTGGTTCAAATTCAATATCTGAAAAATTGGCCAATTTATTGATAAAATGTTAAATGTTGTTTTGCACACCATATTCCAGAAAGCTGGCTTTTCTGATTTTTTTTATTCATTTTTGGATGATTATTATTATTAGATGCTAAAGGTCTTAGGTATGATGGTATTTAGACATATTTTCTAGGGTTTCCTTCAGGTTTTTATATATTCATTCTATATTTCTCTGTGCTTTTAGTTTCTACTAAAAATGCAAAGACTTTAGAAGTTCCCACAAGAACAAATCTTGTACTGTGAGTGAACTTGACAATATTCTGTTCAGAACAAAATGTTATATAGTACGTCATTTGATAGATGAAAACCTTGACTTTCTATTGATTATAGGTAATATATAATGAAATGTAAGAGAGAACTATCAATGAATTGTGAAAGAGAGGATGTGGCAGGAGGGGTCTAAGTTTCTATTCTATAGCTCTGTAACCAAACAAAATTGAAGGCTATAAAAATTATGGTTTGTTTGAGCAATAACGATTTTATAGTGAGTATTTTACGTTAGTTTCATACTTTTTCTAGGGGTGGTGGATAAAATAGAGATGATGACATGCTAAGAGAAAATGGGTCATACTAGTGGAAATTCAGGATTTTTTTAAATATCATGATATTCCTTTTATTCAAATATTGCAAAACAAACATTGATGAAGGTCATTTTGATATCACAAAGTCAAACATAGACAAGTGGCTGCAGATTTTTATATAAGGTGGGAACTTTTGTTTACTTGTCTTACTAAAAACCTTTACTATTGATTTTAGATTGTTATCAGGAAAACGAAAACACCATGAAGCCATCGATGAAGTGAGTTGTGAATTTATACTTCTTTGCTTAGAAATGTTCATATAAAACATAATTTTATTGCTTTTATTGAAGGATAAAGTTTTGGAAATATTGAAAATGACACAAAACATTAAAATTTAGCATTTTTATTGATGTCTTTTTCTTTTGTGCAGTAGTATTTACTTCACATGCAATATTATAAAGCATTAGTTTATGGTTTATAATATTTGCTGTCCAGTTGATTTAATCTATAGAATAATTATTATTTGAATTCAGTAGCTCCAGTTTATTATCTAAAATCATGTGTGACTTAATTAACAGCTGTTTTAATATGCTGTGTTTGTTGTTTTATAAATTTCCAAATAGCTTTGGTCTTATGAGATGAATGCAAATACATGATTTTTTCTCTTACAATTTGAAGAGGATTTTAAATTCAGGAAAATGAATAAAGAAAAATAATAAATTAAACAGTTTTTATTACAATTTTTGCTATTGCTACATTTTGTTTGTTTGTAAATTAACTGTGTAATAGTCATATAACTTCATTTTTGTCTCTTGGGTGTTACTTTCTTCTTTGTTTACCTATTTGATTTTTGGAAATTTTTTATTAGAGTGATGACAATAATTGAATATTAAGTGTTTAAGTTACTTTAATTTAAGCCATTGCCATTAAAAGCTTAGAACAAATTAATCACAGGGTTGTGTGGTTCTGATGGCTCTAAGGTATGGTAGATATTAAAATTTTGTTTTTATTGTGAATACATCAGCATTTAACAGGTTTGAATTTTGTTGGTTGTATGGTTTGTAGTCTTTATCCCAAGATGTAAGAAACAAACTGGAGAGCCTAGAGAATGAGTTATACAACTTAAGAAATCAAAATGAAGAACTTGAACAAAAGTATAGGTATGGAATTCTATTCATAATGATATATACGTGAGTGTCAATTAAATATTAGTATCCCATATTTTATAGTTGTTTTTGTATGTAATGTCTTAGGCTATCTATATTTTTGTCTAGATTTATAAACAGTTGAATTATGAAACAGTAGAAATATGTAATATTGTCACAAACAGATTTTAAACTTACAAAAGATTTAGTTGTATCATATTGACTTACTTGATTCAGAAAGAATTAATTTAATCTAAATACATATTTCTTTTCAAGTAAACATGAAAATACAAATGCCCTTACAAAAATTGTAACTTTAAAGCACCACTTTACCCACTGTTGGATGTCGTGAAACTGCATTTATGTATTGTAAACTAGTTTTTTACCTCAGATGCATAAAGAAACGTACTACAGGAAAATCGTGTTTACTTTATAATATATTACATTAAAACTGATTTCTTAGTGACTAGGGCTATTAATTGAACTTAGAACTACATTTACAGTAAATACTTTTAACATGTTACATTAAAATCCATTTTACCTCTCTTCATAATGCATTGTCACATCTTTTGAAGCATGACTTTCAGTAGTGATTTATTGAAAATTCAGAATGTATTGCTATAAAATTTGGATTTAGACAAATTTTAGGAATGTAGAGTCAAATGTTCTGGCAACAACTATTGTTTTGCTGATATTGATGATCATAGAGTTTAACACTCATAATGTTCTGAAGTTTATGATGAAATAAAGCATTATGTGAAAGGGTTTATACACTAAATTTGCAACTAGTATAGCAGTTCAAGACAATTTTTCATGCCTCTGAATAACTTAGAACTTTTATATGCAAGACCAAAGACATATTTATTACTATTTTTATGTTTTTTAATTTGAATGAACTCAGCAGAGTTTGCCTTTGGATAGTTAACTAGATCTGAGAAACACTTTTTGGTCATACTTCCCATGGGAATTGGATGTTTAGCTGTTTCTGTTAAAAATGCCAGAGATAAGGTTTTCTGAATACGAGAATGATAATAACAATACCTTTCTTTATTACAAGGTATTTCACAAGCTTTATTTTTCAAGCCTGATTTAGTTTAATGTTAGTGGAGTGTTTTAAATTTAAAAGCAGAAATTACATACATTTCAAATGCTGGAGTTAAGGTTTTCTTGCTAGAATGGTCAACTATCTCGATTGATTGTTGTAGAATGTCATTAACCCAGATGGAGAAATTTGCTCACCAAGAGAATACGATCTATAGTATACGTAATGAAAACCGAGAATTAGAAAAGGATAATGCATTACTCAGACATGACCTCAGAGAGGTAGGTACATTTTAAATTGATAATATTAAGATAACACAACAGTTTATAGTGATTATCATATTTTAAGGATTTGTAAACATTATCAAAATTGCATATTTTCATCTCATGGAAGTTATTAAAATAAAGAAAGTTAAAACATTCCCAGTATAATGTTATCTTATGCAAGGTTAATAAAGAAGGCTAAAATATTCCAAGTATATTGTTGTCTTATGCAAGGTTAATAAAGAAGGCTGACATATTCCCAGTATATTGTTCTCTTGTGCAAGGTTTGTGAAAAAATTTAAAACATTACCAGCTTGTTGTTTTATGAAAGGTTAGTAAATAAGGCTGAAACATTTCTTTTATATTGTTTGCTTATGGAATGTTAGCAAAGAAAGCCAGAGCATTTTTAGTATAACTTTGTTTAAAATGAAATAGTAGCTATGCAATTTACTTGCTGTTTTTTATTAATTTTAATTGTATTCTAATCTTATTGAACTAAGAACAGTAATACCTTAATTTCACTAAAGTTTATACACATTTAATATTCATTACTTACTTCAAGAGGTTATGAGGTTTTGTCTAATTTTATAGTTACATTATTATACTTTTTCTTGTATATGATGGTGTGTTTCTTGTTTTCAGTATTGAGTTTTCAAGTTACCTCACCTTTTTCTGAGTCGACTACAGTTCATGTTTTCATAAGAAAAATAAAAACTTTTTGGTGAAAAAAAAACATATAATTGTGAAGTCTTTTCTTTTCAAGTTTAAAAAATAATGTCCAAAAATAAAACCTGCATAGAATTTACATTACTGAATTTATTACTGACAGAATAGTCAATATAATTTGAAAATAAAGTATATACAACTAATTCATCAGTGGAAATCGAAGTTTTATAATAAATATTAAAAACATGGTAATACCAAAAATCATTTTTAATTAAATATATTTCAGAATGGTTTTAAATTCCATCATTAGCATTAAAACCTCAAAAAGCTAGTTCACAATATTCTAACTACAAGAAACAACATTAACTATCAAGCAATAGTTTTTGTTATATAATCAAAAGTTTAGAAAGAAGAAACTTAAATGGTAACAATATAATGGAATGTACAATAAAACATGCAGCATATGTGTAGTAATATTGTTAAGAAAAATCATTAGATATAATTAAAGCTTACATACAAGTATGAACACTGCATCTTTAAAATAATAATAAGCCAATAAAAACACTGGGAATCTGGAATTGATCAAGTTAATGACAACAGAATGGAGTTAATGTTATTACTTAATGTTGTGAAAAATGTAAAAGCTTTCTTTAATTAAGAGTTTGTAATCTGTGGTTCCAGAGTTGAGAATTTTAAAGTTTTCGAGAACTATGAAGTAGTTGTTATTCTCACTGTGTAATCAAATACAAGAGTCAGGTAATTAGTTAGCTAATATCCACTACTAGTTGAATTTCCCATGTGAGCATCTGCACATCTTGTGTGGGGCTTCTTGGTAGGTTCCATTTTATTTGTTAAAAATGTTCGTGTGATAGAGCATAAGAAATTAAAAGGATAGCCATTACTTTTTGTAATATGTTGTGAATTTTGGAAATTTTAAGATCATCTTTGACACACTTTTGTGAAACTTTATCCTATATGTTTATTTTTCCAGACTTATGTATGGTTTAATTCTTCTAGCACAGGCTCGGTCCCTGGAACTGACCTTGTAACCATTTTGTGCTTGTTATAGTTTTCACGCTATAACTTTTAAATTAGTAAGCATATTTTAATGGAATTTGGCAGATTATCAGTAAACATTATAGCGCTTTCATACCCAAAATATCAAAGTCTTAAGATTTGTAAAGCAATGTTTTTCTCATGCCTTTTTTCTTTTTCTTTTTGCATGTTGCCTATCTATCATTCAAAGTAATTTTCATTTTAAGATTAAAATTACTTTTATGCATCAGAAAATTTTGAAATTTCACATGAGAAATCTTTGTAATGTCCAGATATTTATCAAATGTTTCTTAAGAAAAGCTATATTTTATCTGTTATTTTTAGTAATAAATTTCTGTATGGGCTCACTAGGTTTGACCAATGCCATAAAAAATTATGGAATAAATATAAATTTTGCCTCTTTCATTCTAGAATGAACACAAATCAAAC